GGATGGGGGGTGGATGATTCCCGGGATGGATCGGGATGGGGATCGGGATCGGGATGGATGGGATCCCCGGGATGGATGGAGGGGGGGTTGGAGGATTCCCGGGATGGATCGGGATGGGGATCGGGATGGATGGGATCCCCGGGATGGATGGATGGATGGGGGGTGGATGATTCCCGGGATGGATCGGGATCAGGATCGGGATCGGGATCAGGATCGGGATCGGGATGGGGATCGGGATGGATGGGATCCCCGGGACGGATGGATGGAGCGGATCCCTGCCTGCTGGGTGGGATCCTGGTAGACGATCCGGACGTTGTCGCTGCGCGGGAACCACAGGAAGCGAAAATACTGCGAGCGGCTCAGGTGCTGCTCCAGCCCTTCCAGGACCTGCCGGGAATAAATAAACACCGGGAATAAACACCGGGAATAAACACCAGGAATTCTGGGAATACTGGGAATACTGCGAGCGGCTCAGGTGCTGCTCCAGCCCTTCCAGGACCTGCCGGGAATGAATAAACACCGGGAATAAACACCGGGAATGAACACCGGGAATGAACACCGGGAATGAACACCGGGAATAAACACCGGGAATACTGGGATCCACTCAGGTGCTGCTCCAGCCCTTCCAGGACCTGCCGGGAATAAATAAACACCAGGAATAAACACCGGGAATAAACACCGGGAATACTGGGATGGGCTCAGGTGCTGCTCCAGCCCTTCCAGGACCTGCCGGGAAGGAATAAACGCTGGGAATAAACACCGGGAATGAAAACCGGGAATAAAACCTGGGAAATCTGGGAAAACCGGGAAATCAGGGAAAATAAACTGCTGGGAATATTGGGAATACTGGGAAATTTGGAATACTGGGAAATCAGGGAGAACAAACCGGGAATACTGGGAATACTGGGAAATCTGGGAATACTGGGAAAAGGGGGAAAAGCGGGGAAAACTGGGAAGCCTGGGGAAATCAGGAAAAGCGGGAAAAGCTGAAAAATTGGGAAAACTGTGGAAATCCAGAAAAACCGGTAAAATTGGGAAAACCAGGAAAAGCAGGAAAATCGGAAAACCGGGAAAAGTGGAAAAAGTGGTGAAATTGGGAAAACCAGGAAAAGCTGGAGAACCGGGAAAACTGGGAAAAGTGGGAAAGGCAGGAAAATCGGGAAAACCGGGGAAATGGGGAAAAGCGGGAAAAGTGGGAAAACCAGGGAAATAAAAACTGGGAAAAGCGGGGAAATTGGGAAAAGCAGGAAAACCAGGAATGCTGGGAAAAGCAGGAAAATTGGGAAAACCGGTGAAATCCAGAAAAACCGGGAAAAGAGGAAAAAAGCGGGAATATTGGGAAAAGAGGGAAAACTGGAAAAAAGCGGGGAAAAGCAGGAAAATTAGGAAAAACAGGGAAATTGGGAAAACTGGGAAATAAAAACCAGGAAAAGTGGGAGAAGTGGGAGAACTGGGATAAGTGGGAAAAGCAGGAAAATTGGGAAAACCGGGAAAAGCAGGAAATTCCCAGCCCGATCCCACTTTTCCTTGCCCTCCCCCATCCCAGAGCTTCGGATTCCCGGGAAAATCCCCATCCCTTTATCCATGGATTCATTCCCGATCCCATCCCAGGGGAAAAAAAACCGGGAGAAGAGGCCAAAAAACCGGGAAAAAACCCTGGGAATGTGGGAAAAGAATTCCCGGGAAGGTCGGGCAAGGACGGGCTCCGCATTCCCGGGATTTCAATGGATGGGGAGATGAATCCCGAGGATTTGTGGGATAATCCCGGATCAACCGGAGTCCTTGGGAAGGATTTGGGATGGGGAGGGCAGGAGGAGGGAATTTCATGGAATCCTGGAATCCCGGAATGGATCGGGAATCCCGGCCCAGTGGGGGATGGGGTGGGGTTGGGAATCCGGGGATCCCATCCCGAGGAATTCCGGGATTCCGGGATCCGGGAGGCTCCGGATCCATCCCGAGGGATTTTTATGGAATTCTGGGAAGGGAAATCCAGGGATTTTTCTGGGATTTGGGGTTGGTTTTTTTTTTGGGATACCCCAGGAATTCCTTCCCAAATTCCCATTTTCCCAGGGAATTCCCTCCATTCCCAGCCTGGGATTGGATCCGGAATGAACCTGGAATTATTCTGGAATTATTTGGGAATTATTGAAGAAGCCATTCCGGGATCCAGGAGGCTCAGGATCCATCCCGAGGGGTTTTTATGGAATTCTGGGATAGGGAGACCCTTCCTGGAGTCACCAATTCCCAGGGAATTCCCAAAATTCCTTCCCTTGGGATGGGGCTGGATCCAACCCCAGGCTGGGAATGGAGGGAATTCCATGGGAAAAACGGGGAGGGATTTGGGATTTGGGCTGTAATTCCCTGGGAAAAGCGGGAGAAATTTGGGAATTGGGCCGGAATTCCCGGCTGGGAAGTTGAGGCAGGGCCAGGATTCAATTCCCAGCGAATCCCTTCGAGAATCCACAGAAAAACCGGGAATTCTCCCATCCCAAAACATTCCCGGATCCTCCCCCTCATTCCCGGCCTTCGGAATCCCCGGGAGCCGATCCGGGGGCAAACGGGGACGGGGAAATCCCACAATCCCGGCTCCAAGGGATCCGTGTCCGACATTCCCGGAGATCTGAACCCCTCATTCCCAAATTACCTGAATCCCTCATTCCCGGTTTTCTGAACCCCTCATTCCCGAATTATCTCCGGCTCCCATTCCCAAATTATCTGAACCCCTCATTCACAGAAATCTGAATCCCTCATTCCCGAATTATCTCCGGCTCTCATTCCCAGTTTTCTGAGCCCCTCATCATTCCCGGTTTTCTGCATCCCTCATTCCCAAATTATCTCCGCTCTCATTCCCAGTTATCTGAACCCCTCATTCCCATTTATCTGCGGCTCTCATTCCTGGTTTTCTGAGTCCCTCATTCCCAATTATCTGCTTCTCTCATTCCCGGTTTTCTGAGCCCCTCATCATTCCCGGTTTTCTGCATCCCTCATTCCCAA